ATTGCTCTCTTTCTAGAATAAACTTAAAAGTACTATTTATAATACAATTAGCGTCTAGTGTAATGGATCTGTTACAAATTGGTTTGCCAGCAAGTCTTAAAGGTTGAAAACTCTTAATGGTGCTGGGATGAGATGGTATCTAACAGGAAAAAAAACAAGTATGCATTTCTATAGCAAAAATATTTCTTAAAATTCAACATAAAAACTGCTGTTCTGTTGTATTTGTTCTGAACACTTCTGCTTGTTGTAGTTTTCAGTAGTGAAGAGTATTTTTGCAGTATCAGAGCTCATACTTTTTTTCAGTTTAGAGAGAACAAGAGAGAGGAAACTGCAGTATTCCAGAAAGTACTCCAATCTTATGCTGAAACAGTGGGGAGTTCTTTGCTTTTCATACTTTCCTTTAAGATCTGCATGTAATCCAAGTGTAAATTACTATAACAGATGTAAGTGATTTGCCATATCAGAGGGTATAATATTGGAAGTGGGTGGGAACTGGAAGCCCTATTTTGTTCTTTGTTCTTGGTTGGACTGTAAACCTGTTATATGACCTTAAGGAGATCACATTAACCCTGACTTTCTGAAGCATTTGCACTCCTGAACTGACTTTATGTTCATTAGTCACAATTTCCTGTAAGTTGAGAATGCTGCCTTAATAGGGTGCAGAAGAGAGTTCATCAATATAATGTGCTGTGAAATTCCCCAGTTGAAAGTATTACAGGCTGTGGAGAGTGTATTATTACTCATTTATAATGTTAGCAATAAGTAATAATAATATAGGTATGTTTACCCTATGATGTTGTACTTCACCCTGAAGCAAGGTAAATAGCTATTTAGTTTTTTTTAACCATCGATTGCAGGAATTAAAGGTCTTTAGAATATTTCTGCAATATTAAAATGATTTTTCAGCCAGTGTATTTGCTGCTTTAGTTTTTAAAAAAGTAAACCAAACAAAATCCCAGGTTGTTATTCACTTAAATAGTTATCTCCACAGTGCAAATTTCTTTCTGAACTTCATATCTGCTTAAGTATCATATCTGTTGATGTTCCCTGTGTTACTAAGCAACACAAAAACTGCCAAATAAACATGTAGTATGGCACCATAACTCCAATAATGCATTGTGGAGTTAATTTTTTGTTATGTTCCATATGGCTAATAGGAATATTTTGAGATTCCAAGTACACAGTACTCCAATGTAAAATATATTTGTTTCATTATAAAAAGCAGTTCGTATCTTCTAAAAATGTGCATTTAATTGCATGAAGACAGAAAAGCAGCACAAAAATTATTCAAATAACCTTCCAATTATATTTGATAAATCATGTTTAAATCCTTTTTACGTTTATGTAGCAATTATAACCTAACCACAGGATCTAACATCTTAGAGCTTCATCAAAATCAATCAAATCTCTTAGGCTGAAGCTGGAATGTTGTTCTGATGGAATTGCTCCCAAAGGCAATTTTGATCTATTTAGGCATCGGCTTTGCAGCACATTCTGAATTAAGATTTTTTCTGGTAGTATTTCCTAGGTAAAGTTTTTTTCTTACAATAAGTCTAGGAAATTTCCACTATATAAAACTAATTAATTGAAAACTTGTTAAACCAATGATTGTTTTCAAAAATGTTACTAATACTTGGTGTATAGGAAACTTGGCATCTCCTGTTACTTGGTTTCCAAATGTGTTTTTATAGAGAAGTGCTGATTTTAGATGGTCATGTAAACATTCATTCATTGTCATTATATGTAAACCTGAAAATATTTTGGAAGACAAATTTTTCCCTAATTTCAAGTACGAATTTCTTATTCAGCTTTCAGGCTTCTCTGAATCACAGTATTTATGCGTGATTCTTAGCTGAGTGAAGCCATGTAAGCAATGTTTTTGATATTTATTTCACTGAATTTTTATTTTACTAAAAAAAAATCAGTAAGTTTGGATGTTTTTCATCCATCACCATGAACTATTAACATAAGATGAACTCACCTGTCCATACTACTGCAGAGATCCAGAACTCAAATCCTTTCCTGTTATCCTAGTACACCTCAAGAATATTTCTTATCTATAATTCTAAAAACATTTTTTTTCTGATTAGTCAAAGATGCCTAACATGTCTGTTAAGAATCAGTTTTTAAAATTGAATGGGATAGTTCTGGAATCTAAATTGTTTTAGTTAGTTTACTACTTCATGGTATTTACAAGGCAGTGCTTTCTTACCCAGTATTCAGATTGATCTTGCCTTTATCAAAGTAATTTTAGGTGAATATTAGAACAAAAAAAGGTAAATAAAAAAAAAAAAGTAAGGGATTTACAACCGTAGTTCCTCAATCTTCAAATAATTTTAATTTTAGAATGAGGACTAGAATGTAAATTAATGCTGAAGTTTTGGAAAAGGTTAAAATATTATTTGTTTCCAGCTCCCCTCCTAGCTTACTGAGATTACAGAATTGCAGCAATATTGCTGTATATTCTTTCCAGCTAAGAGAGGAAGTGCTTCCAAAAGCAACTGATGTGTAGCTCTGTTCTTACTGTAAATAGGAAGTCTAAGAAGGTTGTCAATCAGTAAATTCTGAATTTGCCAAAAGGCTTGGGATTAACAAAGTCACTGCTTGCAAACATGCTTGAAATTTGAAGGTCAATATTTTTTGAGGCATCTGAAGTGTGATGCCTTAAACAACATGTTTGGTGTTGTACACTATTTGGGATATTTTCAAAATCAACAGACATTAACTGTCATTTATAGCAGAATGCATTTTGATTCTTCAGCAAGCTTACTATTTCCCAAACTTCCCACCCAAAAAAGCAGTAATTCTTAAAACAAAATGGGTTTGGTATAAACATAACTGTTCTTCTATCTGGTAATTTCCACAGAAATATTTGCATTCCCCGTTCTTTAAACAGAACTTCTCTTCTATGTGGAGTTCTTAGTTAAAAGTCTATTACCTTTGAAATCAATTCTTCTTTCATGTTATAAAGAATCATATTTTTTCCCGTTTCTGTTTAAAAACTCAGTATAGACCTGGACTTTTCCAATATTTAGTATGCTCATCCACTTTACCTGGTTGAAATTATATTTTTTCAAAGAAATAGTCATGCTTACATTTCTTTGGACATAGTAGGGAATGCTCTGCATAGATTTACTCATCAAAGGTCACAGTTTAATTTTAAATTTAATTTTAAAATTGACTTTTAAAAAAGTAAAGTGTTAATACTTTCTATCTGTGAGTTTAGAGGTCAATCAAGACTCTAAAAAATCATCCATAATTATCAAGGATGCTGGAGTGTGTTTTAATGGGAAGATTTAGAAAATAGATTCAGGAAATTTTGCCTAGATTGTTATTATCAAAAATGTTTTTATGCTACTTTTTAAGTCTGTAAAGTAGGCCTCAAAGGAAACAACTTTTGAATAGCAACACTAAGTGCTCCTCAGAGCCATGGCAAATGGGCATTAGTTGTGTTCTCTAAGGTTTTTTCTAAGAGGCAAAGTACTGTGACCAGTGTATTCAGAAAAAGAAAGGGACTGACAGTGGAAACAAAGAAGGAGCTAAGGCTTTAATATTTCTGAGATGGCTTTAAAATATGAGCCATAATTCAAATAGCATCCAAAATCAGTTGGTTTAAAATGACTACTGCTTCACTGTATGAAATAGTTTGTTTCCACACTAAAACCAAAACAAATTAAGGAAATAAATCTATCATGCAAACCTCACAATTATATAATTGCTGAGAGATGGGAAAATTCCAAGAATCCTCTCAAATAAGTTTCCTTTGTAAGATTTTTTTCAGGCATGGGAACGGGAAATCCAAGAATAGTGTCTCCAGTACAAGTGTTGCACTGATTTGAATTTTTTCTTTTATCAGCATTGTTGTGATGGCTAGCAATATATGTTAAATGGCATTATAATATCAAACTATTATAATTTATAAACTTGAAAAGTGGGCCCAGAAAAACCTACTGAGATTCAATAAGGTTAAATGCAGGCTATTGCACTTGGGTTAGGACAATCCAGAAGTTGGGCTTGTTTAGCCTGGAGAAGAGAGAGCTCTGTGGGGATCTCATTGCAGCTTTCCAGTTCTTAAAAGAAACTCAGTAATCAGAAGGAAGACTGAATTTTTACATGGTCTGATAGTGGTTTGAAAAGGGTGAATAGTTTTAAACTAAAAAAAAGGAGTTTTAGATTAGATGTTAGAAGCAAATTGTTTATTCAAAGGCACTGGAGCAGGCTGCCCAGAGAAGATCTGGGTGCCCCATTCCTGGAGGCATTCAAGACCAAATTAGATGGAATCCCAGGCAGCCTGTAATAGTGAGTGACAACCTAGCCCACATCAGGGTAGTTGGAACTGAAAATGATCTTTAAGGTCCCCTCCTACCTAAGCATTTTGTGATTGATTCTGTGAATATATACAAAACTTTCCCGAGAGATTCCAGAGGCTAGCAACACAGTTACAGTAACATCTTATTTCACTTACATGTGCATGTGTACCCACTTTAAAATGACAGAATAATAACTGGATGAAGAAGAAAGAGGGTATCCAACTTCAACCAGACTTGCTTCCCTACAACATTCTTACTTTGGAAAGTATCTAGGCATTTCTTTTACAGAGGTTCAGAAGAACTGCAGAATTATACGGAAAGATCTGTTTTTACCAAGTTTTTCCTAACACTTGAATGGCTACGCTCCACAGCACTTGAATAACTGCAGAGAAACCACTCTGTCACATCAATTTTACTTTTATTTTTTTCCACATTGATTCAACAAAGGCAAAGCACTCCTGCTTTGCAACGCTATTATTCATCTGCTTTTCCAAATTGTCACCATCCTCATTTTCTTTCTTCTTTTTCATCCTTATCTTCTGAGAAAAAAGCCAGGTAAAACAGGTAACTGTAACAGATAGATAAATTTTCTATTGTGATTACAGATTGGATTTGTGAATTGAATGGTAAATTGAATTTCCAATTTGTGATGGATTTAGAAATATTTATTTGACTTATTTTATTTTGCAGATGCTTCAGAAAATTGCTGTTTGTTTACTGCTGGTTCTGCCAAACAACTCAAGAAGGGACCGATCTATTCTTTCATTAATCAAACGCAATATTATCTTGAACTAATTATTCTTCTCCACATGGCCTTTCTTCTGGTGTCAGCTTATTTTCTGCTGACTCATACTCAGGGTGCTCCTGCAGAGAATGGGGCACTGTTGGAAACACTGAAGTCACAGGTAGGATTATTCAGCAATAAAAGTGAACACTATTCAGCACAGGTGAGACCTCCTGGCACCAGCCGACGAATACCTCAGACAATTATCATTGGAGTTCGTAAAGGAGGGACAAGGGCTTTGCTGGAAATGTTGGATATTCATCCTAATATTGTTGTAGCAGCTACGGAAGTCCACTTCTTTGACTGGGATGAAAATTATGTGAAAGGAATAGACTGGTATAGGAGTTTGATGCCATTTTCTTATGGAAATCAAATTACTATTGAGAAAACACCAGGCTATTTTACATCACCACAGGCTCCAGAAAGAATTCATGACATGAATAGCTCCATTAAGCTGTTGCTCATTCTGAGAGATCCCACTGAGAGAGTTATATCTGACTATACCCAAGTATATTACAACAGAGTAGAAAGCCACAAGCCTGTTCAGCTTTTTGAAGATATTGTTATTAAGAATGGAGCACTTAATACCAAATACAAAGCTATTCAGAGAAGTTTATATGATGTTCACATGGAAAAGTGGCTTAAACATTTCAGTTTGGATCAGATTCATATAGTGGATGGCAATACTTTAATCAAGGATCCTCTTCCTGAATTACAAAAAGTTGAGAGATTTCTGAATCTTCCTTCCCGAATTATGTCTTCTAATTTTTATTTTAACCAAACTAAGGGATTCTATTGCATTCGAAGTGATGGAAGAGAGAGATGTTTACATGAATCCAAAGGGCGACCCCATCCTCTTGTTAACAACACAGTTTTAGAACAACTTTATTCTTACTTCAGAGAGCACAATGCAAAATTTTACAGAATGGTTAATCATTCTTTCGACTGGCATTAATGCATTTGCAATCAATGCTTCTTTAAAAGGGCCTGAAATGAACTCTTTCAAGCATATCTTTGGTAACATGTAACATTCGTATTATGAGAACTTAACATACTGGCTATATAGAAGCAGTGATGTGTTTGCTTCACTGGAACAAGACATCCATCAATTCATTAAAATGTTGGGAAAAATGTTTCATGTATTTGTATGGTTACTCTGGATCATATTCTAATCTTCTTTTTCTCATCATGCAAATCATTCCCATCAGAATTTCAATGAACTTAATTCACATATGATGTTTTAGAAAAATGACTGCTTTTAACAATGTAAAAATGTACATATTTGAAACTGTATTATTCTAACTGTTCTGTATTTTTTTTTTGTTCTTGGTACTTTTTATATCAAGTATGAGGATAGTGACATTGATTTCTAGAATTTTTCATACAATAGGCTAAATTATATGTTAAACAGGGGCATAAATAGTGGTTCCAGTAAATAATTCATCCTATGCTAATATGTTAAAACTTTCATACAATTAATAATAATGGGAATCTATTTCACTTTTGATTTTGAATAGGTGAACTAGAAGATCCTTGTCTGGATATCATTAATATTAAATCAGTCTTACTATCTTGGGTCTGAAAAAAATTCATCTCCAAATAATAAAGTAATAGTATGAACTGTCTGAAGAAGTTTAGGAAGTGAGAGATCTGAATGTAAAGAAGTTAAAACATCCCAGGCAACCTTGATTTACACCATTATTCTGTATAGTTAAATGCAAAAAAAATTGTTAATATCAGCACCTGTACAAATGTTTGATTATATAAATTATTTTACTTTGCATTTGTATGAAAAAGATAACTCCTTATCAGTACTACCACATTAATTATATTTGTATTCTGTGACTAAGTTATTCTATTTCTCTCCCAGCTTTACTTTAAGTATCTCCATTGGAACAGTGATTCTTTTGAATAAGAAAAACACATTTCTTTGCCTGCCCTTCAAAGCATGGAGTATTCTTTGTAATTTCTAATGCAGGTCATGGGAAGTGCTCAGACTTAAAAGTAACACCTTTTTATATTTGTATATCTCAAATATACTATGGATAACATACTCAGATTATGTATAAAAGTGACATCCTGCACAAGGAACTTTTCTTTTTGATATCTTTTGCCTGACAATATTGTCTGCTCTTCTTTTGCATATATCAGTACCAAAGAAGAAAGTCAACTTGAAATGTTAAATGTTAAATGCTGAATAGAACTATACAAATGCAAGCACATGTGCTTGTTTGAAATTGTACCTTGCAATCCAAAATCCTGGTGAGCTGTAATTGCGTGGGCACACTCTAAGCATCAGACTCCACCTAATTCTGTTGAAAGTACTGACTATCTGTATTTTTCTGTTTAAACAACTGTGCAGGCTACAGAATATGTTCTCAATGTGGAATTCAGTCATCTTTTTCATGAGTTTGAAGGTATGTATTGCAACACTAATTTTGGGTTTCTAAATTGCTTTACTAAAGTGCTACTTAGATGTTAGGGAGATAGCATTCTTCTTCCGCTGAATCTGATCAGAATCAGACCTGCTATAGATTAGTTGGAAAGAGCTGTCATCATACTCCTTCAGTAATTGCAAAATATAACAACAGGAAAATCTACTGTTAATCTACTGCCTGTAAGTGTATATCTAAGACGGAAGATTATGCTAGTTTTTCATTAGCCTATAATTAACCTCTAAAGTTTTCTTTCTAAAATATGATTACTTTGTTCATAATCTTTATTTTTTCTTCCATCTTTTCTGAGGTTGTGGCTTCTTAATCATTAATATTGTTATGATCTGGGCACTACTCAGAAATACAAAGTTGATGTGCATCAGGTGTAGAAATGCATTTCTTTCAAATTCATCAAGATCCAAGAATATAGTTTTTCTTGCAGGATTGTTTTCCATTTCTTATATGTTCCAAAACTTGTCATATTTTTCATTTGCTGCTTTTCCATGATTAGTCTTTTTCATAGTGTTCTTGTTTTTGTTTCCTTATTTTCCATGATAATTTTTAATAGTGTTGTTTTTCTTTTTTCCTATTTTTTTCTTTTCTTTTCTTTTCTTTTTTTTTTTTTGCAATGAATCTAATCTCAAAACACTGTAGAGTTTAACAAAGGCTTCAGGAAGCTGTCAGTACTGAGACTTCATATGTCTATGCATCACCTTCAATTTCACAGGTTAATGTCTTTCTATATTTATGTTTGCAGACATCAAGATGACGACTTCTCTGAAGTTTACTTTAAGTGAGTTGAATGCAGAAGTACCACTTGACAAAAGCTATACATCTTCAAAAATACGGCTCTCTTTCTAGACCTCACATTTCAGAGAGTGCTGATCAGTGTAGATTAGTGATACATATGTTTTCTTGATTTGTTAGCACTCTTCATTCCTAATAAACACTTTTCAAAGGACAGAGTTGTTGAAATAAACTCAGTATTTTAAAGTTCACTAATACCAGAAGAAATGGCTCTTTTGTTCTAGTTTTACATCTAAAAAAAAAAGATTCTCATCTGAAATTTCTAGGTAAACAGTCTACCAAGATGCAAATTAACCTGCACAAAAGAATTAAGTGAATACAGCAAACTGTAATTTAGCATTTCAAATTGCTTCAATCATAGTTTCTATTTTGTGATCTGAAAGATGTATCGCATGTGCATGCAGTTCTAGCCTTCTCGATTGAGCTATACTTGATGATGAAAAGCCAAAATTATTTTTTCTCCCCAAAAAGTATGCAATTTTGGGTGCGTGGAATTTAAAGCAGATTGAATTTTCTGCAGAATCATAACAGATGAAATTATTAACAAAATAGTCCTCAATTTAATAAATGACAAGTATCTATTAAGAATTCCAATAATTTCTGTAACCTGTTCTTCACCAAAGTAGTCATCAAGGGATTCTTTTGTCTTATTATCTTGTCTTATTATCTCATACTTATGAGGCTTCAAGAGAAGTAACTTTCTTATAGCGAGATTGCTTGAAGAGAACATGTAGCTGTCTCAAAGGTTGTTGAGAGCATCTGAAATACAATGTAGTCACATGTAATGTCATTGCAGAATTTAGCATGATTTGAGTGGTCTTTGAGATTGTTTTACATGGCAGAGATATGAAGCTTTCATGTTAAATGTTTTTTTATACTGTAATTAGTGTTGCTTTAATTTACTATGACTGAGAACAGGCAATTTCAAGCAACTGCAACCATAACTGGATCAGTTGAGACTACCACAATAAGAAGCACTCCCAAACTTGTTAACTATATGAGTCTAATCTTAGTAATTTTTTTCAATGTAGGCTATATATATTATAAATTCTCTATCAACAGGAAACAGTGAGAAAGTTAAGATTTTCTTTTTTTTTCCAAAAAATTATCCTAGCAATACTTAAGTAATATAAAGGAAACAAAGAGGTTCTTCTACCATGCCTCTTCCAGAATCATTTTACCAGGAAGAGTGCTGAGTCTTTTTGTTGTATCCTGTCCGTCTATCTGCTCAAAGCCCCTGTGCTGAAAGTCATCTTTCACTGCATAGCCTTAATAGAAAATGTACAGTCCTTCTTTTAAGACCTTCTTGCCTAACTTTTCTTTTAATATTCATGGCAATATTTTGGAGAACTTTATGGAAGGCAGAGACTAAGTACCCATCGTTGTATGCTGCTACACAAAGGCAACTCCTTCAGTATCCTTTAGGTGCAGTCATAATCCTATAAAATACACTGAACAAAGATTAGAGTGTCAGCTGTAGGGAAGTACATCCGCACAGATTTTTCACTCTTCATGCACATTTCAAGGAATCCTGAGAAAGAAAAGTAAAAATAAGCAGCTCAACTACTTGTTGCCTTTGTCAATTTAGATGTTTTCAACAGTTAAACAAAAATTGAAAACTATAAGTAATTTTTTTCTAGTTCACATTGATAAGAAATTGTCACTGTTTGCAACAATAGGGTTAATTATGAAGCATTAAATGTGATTGTTCAATTTATTGGTATAAACAACTTTGTAACCTTGTTTAAAACTTCTGCTTCTCTTGGGACTGCATCCCACTGTGGTGTGTAACAATAGGATGAGGAGTAATGAACTAAAACGTGTATGTAGGAAGTTCTATACTAATATGTGGAAGAACCATTCGGTAAGGCTGATAGAGAACTGGAACAGGCTGCCCAGAGGGGAGTCTCACTCAATGGCGATATGCAAGACCCATCTGGATGCCGACTTGTGCAAGGTACCTGCTTCAGAGGGGGGGTTGGATGCCATGATCTCTTGAGGTCCCTTCCAACCCCTGTGATTCTGTGATTATCATAATTCCTGTCATTTCTTGTTTAATCTATGTGGTCAAAAACAGAACTCTTGGATTATTACTTTTCTAAAAAGTAATTCAAAATCATAGTTAAAAGAATGAAGAGATCTTAATTTACAGTCAGAGTTGTATGATAACCATCACAATAACTTTTCCTTAAAGAGAAAAGAATATTTAATATGTTCAAGTAATGATTATGCTCCTGTAGATTATTATTTTCTGTGCTTGTGGGTTTGATCTTTTATTTCCTTTAAGTGTCTGAATTTTATTATAGAAATGAATAGATACATTAGAATTAAACTGAATAATAATTTGCCTAGCACATCATTAATCACTAGCAGCAGTTAACAACTAGTGTTTAGTTACTGGACAAATAGTTTCCACTTTGGTTATTCCAAGCTTTAATTTGACTTACCATGTTTCTAATATATTTTTAAAAACAATTTGAAATTTTACATAACCACTGAATGAGACTTTTAGTATCATTCTGTGATCATAGAGGAATTGACTTTTTTTTTTTAAGTTAGTTAACAGACATGAGCTTATTAGAATTCCTGAAAAAAAAAAAAAAAGGACATGAAGATACTAATGAAATGAAAGTATAAAATAATACATTGAAGTTGAAACTGCTAGTTGAAAATGCAGAAGATTTTTAAAAAGACTGATATGAATCACACTTTCATGATAAAACAGATGTTAGCACTATGTACATATGTAATACATTTCATGTAGTAATGCACGTAACCAGTGTTCTGAAGTCTATTTTTTGATGTAAAATTGTCTTATGCTTTTACATCGTATGTTCTCTGATCTCCATTACAGAATGATCTTAGTAACTATTTACTGAAAAGTGCCCCAATATAGACTCTTTACCAGTGGTGCAGGATTTTCCTCTCAAGGGATATTGGACCCTCTCAAGGGTCTTTTGGTTTTGTTTCCTCTGAGATAAAAAAAAAAAAGTTTTGAGTGACATTTGAAACAAAAGCAGAGAATTATTATCAAACCAGAATTAAAAATATTATGTTTAATACTTTTCCCACTGAAGAACAATATTTTATAGGAACTTAAAACAGTTGTTTAACAAATAACATTTTGTATTTTTCTCTTTTCTTCATTGGATAGTATAACTTATTTATGGGTTGAAATTGAAATGGCAGAAGTACAGGTAGTTAAGAAACCCTTTTCCTTTTGGACCTGCTAAAATGCTTCTATTTTGATGTGAACATTTTGAACTATCATACACTTTATAAATTCTATTCCATGTATCTGTGTGTGAATGTATAGATGAGTACATGCACATATATATATGTGTGTAGGTGGGTGAGTGGTAAACTGCTATAAACTTACAGTAGAAAAAAAAATAGGACAGGAACAAAAACAAAGTAATAAAATCTAAGATTAAGGTCCTCTTCTGCTAAATAATTGTTCAGTTAATATGGCACAGTTCTAAATGAAAATTGGGCTGGTAAGACATACAGAAGACAGTAACAGGCTACTCCAGGGATTTGTCCAGGTACTGTGCATTCCTGAATTAATTTTCTGGTCATGACGCTATTCAGGGTAAATGTGAGTATACATTTTTCAAAACACTCTATTTTGTCTTATAAGGGAACACCACGGTATTGTAGGTTTAGCATATTATATCTGTCCTTTGGCCAAATGCTGCAGTGCTGGGAAGTAACAGTTCTCTACACTAAGTGTTAGGAGTTTTTTAAATCCTTTCTGGAAAATTAGCCATGCGAGATGTGTAGGTTTTGTTGTTGATTTGACAAGGGCTGTCAGCCTGAAATGCTGTGCAACTGTCACAAGAAGATTGAAGATATCTCTTCTAACTCTGCTAAGATACAAATCTACCACTGTAGACAAGTGACACAGATGGAACACTTTAAACTGCAGGGGGTGCATCACTGCCTTGAGTGAAGAAAGATTAAAGGCTCATAAACAACATATGCTATACTTATGTATGATGCGTGCATATGCCTAGCTTGCAAAATACACTTGGTCTAAAACAAAAACAAGCTGAGTCTATAACCATGCAATAAAGTGATCCTGTTGAAGGCATACTGAACTGCAGGTAGCTGT